AGAACAATACATACTGAGAGCATCTCCACTGGGTTAGCTGACCCACCGGTTAAAGCCAGAAAGTTACTGCAATATCTGATTTAGTTAACTAACAATATTGTTTTTGTCTCCAATGGTTTTGCTAAAGTTGTTGTTAACTAGTGTAGAAGGTGATGTTTACTAACTTGTTAGCTAACTGCGGCGAGCTTCCTAGTGAAGAGGTGAGAGAGAGAGAGAGATGGGTGGGTGGGTCTGCCAGTGGCAGACATGGTACAGTGAGAGAGAGAGAGATGGGTGAGTGCAGCCCAAAATCTCCTTTTATTTTATTTTTTAAATTCGGTCAATACATTTATATACATATATAAATGTCATTTAACAAACACCTTAACTACACTATTTGAGCACACACCCACTCTCTAAACTAACAAGTACTTAACACACAAATGGGTCCCACTTTTCACACTTTTTGTCATATAACACACTTTAACAAACAATTTTAACAACACCATTGGAGATGCTCTCACTGATGTATTCAGTGTACTGTTTTTGAATTTATCGCTATCGTGAATATCTTATAATTTTTCACCCAAACTTTAATCCAGTTGCAGACTCAAAATCAGCAAACTACAGAAAAAAATGTTGATGAATGAAAATATCAACCTCATAACATAGAAAAACAAAAGAAGAGACATATAATATTCAGATCTCACGTTTAAGTAATTATTGATTTGCTTCAAAACATTTAGCACGTTAACGCACCAAAAACTTTATTTATTACATCAAATAATTGGATTGTTTAAAAGGCTAAACCTAATTAGTATGGTAATATACCACTCTTTGTATAACCACCAGTAGATACACTGTTTCTTTACATGTATGGTGCAAGCAAGTTATTTAATGTTCATAAAAGTAACAACACAAATGACAAAATCAAACAAAAACACCTAAATTAGGAAGGAGGTCCACTTGAAAGAGGTAAGTATCATTGTAGAAGATGAGACATTTTTCAGTTATTGAAAGAAAATATCAACTATGCCAACAGATGATAAGAAGGTTAAATGGTTTCAATAGTATAAAAGCTTTACCATATGTTGGGATCGCTCATCTTGTATGGAGACTGTAATCCCAGATGGAATATGAGTTATCCTAACAGCGCTGTTAGTAGTATTTGCATGCTGACCACCTGAACCACCAGATCTATATGTATCGATTCTTAAATCTTCATGCCTCAACTGGACATCTACCTGTAAAAGTCTTGAAATGTGATCAAATAGCTCCTCTGATTAAAACTCTTAACCTTAAAGATCAATTATATGGAGCAATGACACTATCTAAAAAATATGAACAGACACCTCATCAGCCTGAGGAAGGATTGCAACAGACACAGCACTGGTGTGAACACGTCCAGATTTTTCTGTCACAGGAACTCGCTGCAGAAAAAAAAATAAAAAACCCATGTAATGCCTCGTAACAGTAAATTAAATATAAGATATGGGGTAATGGGACCTAAATATAAGATATGGGGTAATGGAACCTGCACTCTGTGAATTCCACTCTCAAATTTAAGTTTCCCATAAACATCAGCTCCTGAAATTGCTGCACTAGCTTCCTGGCATGGAGAAGTACATGTTAGGAAGCTTGATGGACAACCAAAATAGGAATTATTTGTAATAACTGGCACTTACAGACACAAAACCATCTACATGACAAACATTTTTGTATCAACTACTACGAAGTACTGAGAAGTTCTGCCTCACACACAATTAAGTAGATGAATTCTATGAAAGTTCATTTTGACTGTTAGTAACACATAGAATACATACCTTGTATCCTTTAAGATCAGACTCTGTTATTTCTACCACGTCAAACTTCCATCTCTTCTTCGTTGAGTATCTCTCATACCTGATGAAATTTAAACAAGATCAAATTTAAAATGAGAACTTGATAAGCATTATTAAATTTAAAGAACAATCTATAGCAACTTACATTTTGAATATGTCCATTGCAAACAAAGAAGCCTCATCCCCTCCAGTTCCTGATACAAGTTTAAGAAATTATATTTATAATTCAGTCACTGCCTGAAAAAATAAACAAACAAACAAACTTGATGCATATTAGCATTAAAAGAGTGGGTATCAATGAAATGTGCACTCAGATAATTTACCTGCTCTGACCTCCAAAATACAGTCCCGTTCGTCAGCATCATCCTTGGGAAGTAATGACTTCAGCAGTTGATTCTGCAGTCTTCTCACTTCTTCCATGGCCAGACACAATTCCTCAGATGCCATGTTCAGCATTTCTTTGTCTTCTGGACTTTCATCCATTAGTGACTTCAAACCCTCAATCTCCTAGAGAAAAAAAAATATATATATATTAATTTCGAGCCTCAAACAATGTCCTGAACAGCAGAAATGATATTAGCAAGAATAACTAGAGGCAAGAAGGTAAATATAACATCCAGCTACGTCAGATGCAATAAAATAAACCAACTCTTGATGTCTTTGGGGGACGGCACAATAACTCAACTCTAGCTATAACCACGGCTGAACAAAATAGGATTTGGAGATGCTTGAATGTATTAACTACTACAAATGTAAAAAGAATCAATCAAGCAAATAATTCATCTATTATATGGGACAGATTTATGTAGTGGCCTGGTGATTCCTGGTAATTTCAGGATTCTATGGAAATACTGCATTAGGTTCTAAAAAACATAAAAAGAGTGCTAGAGAAAAATCCAAGAGAATTGAGAGAGTTATTGTGACTTTGAAACCAAGAGATGAGTTTAGAAGGGGAGATAAGACTCACATTTATGTAATAATTGGCACAGGTGAAAAAAAGAGTCATAAATGGAATTTGATAGACAGATTGCCTCTCCTCTCTCTCTCTCTCTATATATATATGGT